TTTAGAGTTAACATTGGAAGCATCTCAGAATAAACACATGTTTTTCAATGGGAAAAAAATATCTAATACAGTGTAAATAAGTTGCACATAATTATTCTATTGTATTTCTTTAGGGAATAATGACTAGAAAAAAGGTTTATATACATTGGTATAGATGCAGTTTTTTCCCAAATATTTTGATTCGTGGTTGGTTGAATCCTCAGAGATAGGCCAGCAATTACATATTCTATAAAATGTATGAAGAGAGCCAGACCTAGTGGCCCATACTTGTAATACCAGCACTTGGGAGGCTGAGGCAGGAGGATTGCTGCAAGTTCAAGTTCAACCTGGGCTACAAAGTGAGTTAGAGGCCATCCTAAACTGCATAGTAAGACCCTGTCTCAAAAAGATAGAAAAAATAAAAGTTGGGTTTTTTGTTGTTTTTTTTTGTTTGTTTGTTTGTTTGTTTGTTTTGAGAGGGTTTTGCTATATGGTCTGGGCTGGCCTTGACTCACTATGTAGCCCAGGCTGGGCTCAAACTTGCAGTGATCTTCCTGCCTCACCCTTCCAAGTGCTAGAATTACAGGTGAATGCCACCATGCCTGGAAAGAAATTTTTCTCCGGTACCAGAAACCGAACTCACGACCTTCTGTTTGCCAGGCAGGCGCTTTTGCCGCTGAGCTAAATCCCCAGCCCCGAAATTTTAACTGTTACTACAAAGGATTGCAGCAAGAGGGGAGATAGGTGGGTGATCTTTGAGTAAACCCTTTTCTGTAACAGTTTTTGCCACCAGGTATGGGGTGAGGTTAAGCTCATCAACACCACTGCTCTGTATTCAACCGGCACACACTAAACAGGATAAGGGGGCTGGGGATATAGCTCAATAGCACAGCGCCTGCCAGACAAACACAAAGTCCTGAGTTCAATTCCAAGTTCCCCCAAAAAGCAGGATAAACAAATATATGTTCTTTCTTTTTTTTTTTTTTTTTTTCCGGTACAGGGAATCGAACTCCCGACCTTGCGCTTGCCAGGTAGGCCCTGTACCGCTGAGCTAAATCCCCAGCCCCAGTGTTCTTAAACTATGACCCAGGAAGTGGTCATTTTTATGATATCCTAGATAATTTAGCAATTATATATTCTACATTAACTGAAACACAGTTACTCGTTATTGTACATTTCAAAGCTGGAAGGATACTATGTTGAGGCTTTCTTGGCGATAACTACGCAGGCGCAAGGGGGTGCTCTTTTCTCAAGACCTGGCAAGAGGTCGGAAGTGGAGCAGAAGAAGCGAAGCTTCCTGCAAGTTTACCTCCCGCGGCGTGGACCTTGACCAGCTGCTGGACATGTCCTAGGAACAGCTGATGCAGCTCTGCAGGGCACGGCAGCGGCTGAATCTTGGCCTGCGGCGGGAGCAGCACTCGCTGCCAGAGCGCCTCTGCAAGGCCGGGAGGCGGCTCCACCCGGGGAGAAGCCAGAGGTGGTGAAGACACACACCTTCGGGACAGGACCATCCTGCCCGAGATGGCGGGCGGCATGGTGGGCGTCTACAGCGGCAACACCTTCGACCAGGTGGAGATCAAGCCTGAAATGATCGGCCACTGCCTGGGCAAGTTCTCTGTCACCTACAAGCTTGTGAAGCACGGCCGTCCTGGCAGCGGGGCCGCCCACTCTTCGCACTTCATCCCCGCAAGTAGCCGCCTGGCCAATAAAGGCACCACTACCCCGCAAAAAGAGGGGATCTTTAGAGGGCAAAATGATACTTTGGATTGTTTGGTTCAAAGATGGACACCGCCTGAGGCAGCTTAGTCCTAAAAAGACACATTTTAAAACAAACTCCTCCGTTCGATTCTCCGTACCAAAAAGAAAAGAAAAGAAAACCGTGTAAAACAAACTCCTCAATGTCAAAGCCCATGGCAACTCTACCATCAGGAACTACTGGGAACCCTTTCCACAGCGACAGTTATCGGGGATCCCTGCAGTGGGCTCCAATCCCCTGCCAGGTGTTGTGGCGCAGCAGGGAGAGAAAGAGCAAGAGAAAAAATAGCAGTGCCGCAGGGATCTGGGATGACCGGTTTGTTCTCAGGAAGCAAAAGGCCATGAGGCAGCCAGAATGGTGGTGTTTATTCATTACATCTGAGTCAGGGTCAACGTGAGAAGGGCAATGTGTGTTTCCTGGAACAGTAAGGGTGACTATGGTGGGCTAATAAGAAAGCATTCCTGCAAGGATGAGACAAGGGACTGGGGGCTGGGGATTTAGCTCAGCAGCACAGCGCCTGCTTGGTAAACGCAAGGTCATGAATTCGAATTCTGATACCGTAAGAAAAAAAAGACACGGGCTGTGTCTTCCCCAGATGCCTGTCCTTTCCAGCAGGTCCTATCTCGCCCTGTGAGCCCCACAGCAGACATTAGCCCTAGGGCTTCCCACTGTAACCAGAAAAGAGTGGGGAGTTTCTGAGTTCCAGTCTGGCTCAAGGGCAGGACAAGGACGGCCTTGGGTGGCCTCTAGACTCCGTTTATAATTTGTGGTCCTCCACAAGGAGTGCATAGTCCAGCTCCTCTCCAACTCAATGTCCGAGGTCAGCATTAGTTACGGGCTCTGTCTTGAGCCTGTGACGGGTACCGGCCACTGCTGGAAGCCAGGTGGGGGTCCAGATCTGGGGCCTGAAGGTGCTCAGTTTCCTGCAGCAGCTGCTGGGGGAGGGTCCTGGGGCCCCTGGGGGTACAGGTGGTAACTGCAGACCAGGAAGAAAGCACTCTCTTGGACCAAACCTGCAGGCCTAAATGGTGTGTGTCCTGGACAACTCCCATGGGTGTAGAGGGGGGCTGGCCTTACAGGTGGATGCCTGGGGCAGAACCCTGCAGGCCTAGTGGTGGACCACATGCGGAAGGAGACGCAGGAAGCGGCCAACCCTGAAAGGCCTGCAGAGCTGAGGCGGTGGTCCGTGGCTAACACAGTGAGGCCCACGAGTGCATCCTGGGAAGGGGGGGGACCCTCTTGTAGCCATGTTCACCCTCCTCTCATCCCTCATCTTCACTGGAAAGAACTTCTGGAGCTGCCCTCCATCACGGGAGCTGGACCAGAGGCAGAGGGCTGCGCAGAGACCCCAGGTACCCATGAAGGCCGAAGTAAAGGCCTATCTGCTGGCCCAAGTTCACTACTAGGCATATTTATCTGCTGGAAAATAGAGACAAGAGGCTGCCTGGAGGCTCCATGGGGAATGGAGGGGAGCCGTTCCAGCCCAGCAGCCCTTTCCAGAGACAGCTGTATCTGGTCTTCCTAGGACTGGTTTTACAGGTTTTACAGGTTTTACAGGTTCATCTTCCTGCATTGCCGCCTTTCTGGCCGTTTACAATAAGTTTTTGTTTGTTCTAAGACAAATTCAGGCTGGCCTTGAACCTGCTATGTATGTAGCCCAGACTGGACTGTGGTGAGCCTCCCTCTTCAGCCTCCCAAATGCCGGGATTACAGGCATGTGCCACCACATCCAGCTTTAATTCTTCCTCCAATTCTTCAGTCCTCCACTTGTACTTCCTCTGCAGCCAGGCCCACTTTGTCATCCACAGGCAGCAGCAGCTGCTCCCTCTCCTGTCACTCACATTCTTCATGATTCAATTGCTTAGATAGTGCCATCTCCTGCCAACAGAATTCATTCAGAATCTCCACTTTCTGCACAGAGTTCTTAAGTCTTCTTCCAGCCCAGCTTTGGCAGACTGTAGAGAGTTAGTCTTTTTTTAAGACAGGGTTTCAGTCTGTAGTTCAGGCTGGCCTCAGACTCATGGCAGTCCTCCTGCCTCAGCCTCCCGAGTGCTGGGAATACAGGTTGTACCACCACATCAAGCTTTATTTTCTAATTTATTTGGCCTTCCAGTCCATTTAATGGACACTGAGACTTTGAGCTTAAATTGTGAAAGTCCTAGCTCCTCTTTAACTAAAGACATTGCAGTTTATGTCCCAGAGACATCTATCCTTTCTTTAATTCGATTTTCCATCTACTCTGGCCTCTTCCCACTTCTCCACTCCCTAATTCATCTGACCATTTCCCCCTTCACTCTGATCCTCAGATTCAGATCCACACTCTAACGGACTCAACTGTGCAGTTAAATTAATCAAAGCACGAATATCTATCATCTTTGTAAGAGCAATTTTTTTGTTTTGTTTTCTTTTGTTTTGTCAGGGTCTCTGCTCTGGTTCAGGCTGGCCTTCAGCTCACTTTGTAGCACAGGCTGGTCTTCAATTTGCAACAACCCTCCTGCCTCGGCCTCCCGAGTGCTGGGATTACAGGCATGCGCCGCCATGCCCAGCTAAGAGCAACTTTTGAATCTTGAGACTTTTGGAAGAATTTGACCTACCGCTGAGCTCAGCATGTGACTCCTTCCAGTTTTTAATTTTCTAAGGCAACTGCTTATTCTTAAGCCTAGCGTTTTCTTCTTGAATCCAGAAGCACTCAGACCTCACCTTCACTAAGCTTAGCTTTATCAAGGGCAATTTGAACCTCTAAAGATTTTGCAGCATTCATTAAAAGAATGTCATTTAACTTTTCTATAGATTTTTTGTTGTTGTTTTTTGTTTTTTTGAGACGGGGTCTCACTATGTAGTCCAGGCTGGCCTTCAACTCACTATGTAGCCTAGGCTGGCCTATCTTCAATGAGCCTCCTGCCTCAGCCTTCCCAGCGCTGGCATTACAGGCACGCATCACCACACTCAGCTTCTGTAGATTCCTTGTTTTCCAGCATCAAATTGTGATTTTTGACATTCTGTTCTCTCTCGGATCCTAATATAACAAGACTTTTTTGGAGTTTATTTTATTGGTACATTTTAGATATATTCATGATGATAACATCATAAGGAATGTGCACCTGTACATCATTTATCTTGCTAACAAGACTTTTAGCTATGTCACCCAGAATTTCATTAGTTTCTTCAAGTATCTTGATTTAAGAGGATTTTTATTTGTTTGTTTTTTCCGGTACCGGGGATCGAACTCCCAACCTTGCTCTTGCCGGTCAGGCGCTGTGCCGCTGAGCTAAACCCCCAGGCCCTTAGAGAGGATATTTTGTTTCTTGGTCTCTTAAACATGTTTCTTTGATTCTTTGATCTTCTGTTCATAATTTAACAATCTTTGTTCAAGTTCTTCATTTTCTTTCATGATGTTCTTCCCCTTTTCAGAAAGTTGCTGTTCAGTGACTTGATACAATCTGTCCTTTTCAGCAAGAACAGTTCTCCGCAAGGAAATGGCAAGTGAAACAATCACCAAGAAGCACAGGCTTCCATGGTCGTCTGTAAAAATCAGCCCCAGGCTGAACATCATCAGGCAACGTAGCAACCAGCTCCAGGCGGTGTAGAGGTCCCAGCAGCTGCGGCTCCCCGGGGACGCGTGACAGCGGTTCCGGCGGCAGACACTGAGGGGCAGACGCTGCCATTGTATAAGGGAGCTTCGCCGAAACAACGCTTCGGTGAGTGATGGCACAGGACCCCCAGTTCTCGGCCGATTCCTCCTTCAGAGGGAGACGGTCGGGGTGGGGGTGGGGGGCGGTGCACACCCGGAACTTGTCCTTCCAGGCGGTTGGCGCCTTTCGCTCTTAGCTTTGAGTAACACAAGTCTACAAAAGGTTTCCACGGCGACAGCGACAAATGGCAGTTTGCCGTGCGCCTGCGCGGGGCGGGGCCAGGCGGAACGAACCACCTGGGCCCATGGCAGGGGGAGGAGCGAATGCGAGCGGGAGAGTCCAAGTGTAGCAGACACACTGGCCAGCTATTATTCAGCTTTTTTTCTTTTTCTTTTTCTTTTCTTTTTTCTTT